CTATTTTTCAAAATATGTCCTTTAAGCAGGTGAAATTAGACACAAAGGTTGACAGCAGTTGACAAAATTGACAGCAGTACCAGTAAATCAGTAAAAAGTAATCAAAGTAACGAATATTTGAAATGATTACTTAGTAGTCTAGTAACGAGTAATCAAAAGTAACGAAAATCAACATCACTACTATAACGTAGTACATTCTCCATGTTTATTTGTATTTATTGTCCATTTGCTGAAACGTTCGTCCGTTATTTGCCCAAACCAACCCCCGGTCGATATTTTCGGTGCGCCAAACCGCACCACAACCCGCTTATTCGACGTAGGTACATACATAAACGTACATACGTAGGTACGTACGAACAATTTCAAAATAGTTGCGGCCGAATGCCATCGTGTTGTTTGTTTTTTTCCCGCCGTTTCCTTGCCACTGCTGCTGCCCGTTTTCCAGCCGCTGGTGCAGGCTTATGGAAATTCGTATATAGGAACGGTGGACGCAGTGGGGGTTGCAGGAATGCAGGGCGATTCGGACGAATATGGGGTGAAGTTAGCGGGAAATATTTCGGACGGAAAGCAAGATATTCGAATGCATGCGTTGCGGGTATTATTCGTTTTTTTCTTCTTCGTTTATGGGAGGGTTTCTTAATATGAAGGAAATGTAGCAAAATGCAATAATATCGTAAAAATAGGGATCTGTAAATCCGGAATGTACAAGCATAAAACAATGTACTGCAATATCCCAGCGCAACAAAGTATAGTAAATGATAACACATCCTTTTTTCGAAGGTATTAGCGGCACTGAATCTGCCAATCATACCATAGCTGGCTAGATTACCAAAATATCTAGTAGTTATATCTTGTAGTTTATGAATTATTATTGCTTGCCAAATTTCTTTAATTTCGAAATTGACTCACTGACACATCATCAAAATTCTAACGTTCTTCTAGATGTGTCAGAAACTTAATTATTAATATTTTAAATTTTAGTTAGCTTTAAGCATATAACCAAAGGAAAAAATGACTTACAACTTATAACTATTTAGACACTAACGTTTTAAAAGATTCTCAATGCACACCAAAACGAGATTACCGAAGTTGTAAACTTATTCCTTGTTTATAATCTTATTAGGAAATTATGAAAATAACACCAGACTACACTGAACGATCTGAGGTAGGATTTGATATACAGGCAAATTTCTTCTACAAAAGTGATACAAATATTGTTTTACTGAAGCTGTTACACGACAACATTCACTGACAGTACAGCAGCTTGGAGCTTGGAGTCAGTCTGACCTTGGAGTCAGTACCTTGTTTTCAGTTATTACTGTATTGAAATACATATTGTTTAACCTTCTTATCTCATAAATTACCTTACAACCTAAGCTTACAACCCTCTGGTTATCTCTAAATAATAAAAAGTGATCAATGATCAATATTCATAATTTCCCGTTGCAATTCTCTTCTGAGTGACGTTTTTCAAAAATGTGCATTTTTAACAAATCGCTGTAACTTTTTTGCTATGAAAAATTTTGTATTTCTGTGAAAACATTTCCAAAGCACCTTTTTACGTAGAATTTAATGGTCTAATTATAATTTTTTTTAAATTAATAATTTAAGAGATATCTACAGAAAAATTAATTTATTATATGGGACACCCTGTATATTTTTTTTCATTGAAAAGAATTTAAAATTACCTTTCAAAAAATATAGCATACTTGATATTTTGCTCCATTACTTTTCGATATTTTCGATTCCTTTTTAAAAATTTGCTCACTTTGACTAAGTAGGCTTAGAATGGTGCCGGCTGTAATGCAAAAAAATTTTAGCTGTGAGCAGCAATTAGAACGAAAATAATATTTGCAATGAGAGATGCAGAATTTTATAACAACTTAAACTATATTTAACAACATCAACACATTTAAATCTAACAATAAAAATAAATTTAAAATTTAAATCTAACAATAAAAATAAATAGCAAACCAAAACATGAGATTTTGCTACAGGTGTTCTATATGTCGACCGTCTTCTGTTATGGACAGGCGGAATCGTTTTTGAACATTTCTCGCAAGATTCATTAACTTAGTGGGGGTGAAAGATACCCTCGCATAACCGCTAATTACTTCTAATTCTTGTCTAGATTATACGCATAGTAAAAATCCACAGGCGCTAAATCCGGCCGCCTTGACGGTTAACGGCTAGGATCTTGGTTAGCTATTCAATTATTCTCGAAATGTGTGTGGCTGGAAAAATATATTTTCGAGTTTCATTAGCGGCAGATCAGCAATAAGATCATCAAAGCCTACTAGTTAAGTGTCGAACTTTCAAAAATTCAATATTTCGACTATGATAAAATATCAAGTGTTCTATATTTATGGAAAGGTAATTTTAAGTTTTTTTCAGGTAATAAAAATATACAGGGTGTCCCAAATAAAAAATCAATTTTTCTGTTGATAACTCTTAAATTATTAATTTCAAAAAAGTAGCTTTGTAAATGTTTTCATAAAAATACAAAATTTTCCATACCAAAAAAGTTACAGCGATTTGTTAAAAATGCCCATTTTTGAAAAACACCCCGTAACTCCGAAACGGTAACAGATATCGATGTGCGGTTATCAGGTTTTCACCATAATGTTTTTGATGAAAATTGAGCTCCAAACACCGATATTAGTTTTCATCTATCTCCTATATATAAGGGCTATTTCCCATTAAAAGCCTCCAATTTGGCCCACCCTGTACTGCACTATCCCAGCGCAACATAGTAAAATGACTGTTACCTGGACCCTAAAACTACAAATAGAAGAATAAAATATGCTTTCGAAATATGGGCCTACAGAAGAATACTCAAAATTTCATATACAATTCATTACTTTTTCAACATTTCAAATTACACTGTTTCAAACATGTTCTTCAAATTCTTCAAATGAATAGCTGTTATACATAGTGCATACACAATTTTTTTATTTTAAACTTTCTACAAAATCCAATGTTGTAATAATAATTTATTAAAAGCATTGTTTTAATATTAAAAAATCTATTTATTTATTAGAGTCGTTTTTCTTTATTCAAGTAATACCTTTATAGTTACAGTAGCTCTTCGTTCCCGCGTAATGTTTCAATAAATTCTAATCAAATTACTAAGAACTAACGAAAGTTTCAAACGGCTTTAAAGTTTGCCGAGAAAGTTACAAAGCGGTTGCATGTTTCAGTGTTAATTTTCGCTTTAGACAATGTTTCGGCATTATCTTAAATTCTCCTTTGATATTCGACGACAAAAATTATCATAAAATTTAATTTTTGTCGTTAATATATTGTTATCTACAATAATTTACTTTAAATTATTCTGAACTCATAGAATATACAGTATGACCCCGGATTGTTTTTACAAGAGGAAGAACTTCATAAATTTTTTCATAAAAAATGTTTGCTTGTCCTAAAATGGTTAATCCCGTTTATAATGTTCCAAATTTCTATACCATTTTAGAGAAAATTAGAAAAAAACATGAAAATATAAAAAATGGCTATACCTATGTGGCGGATTCATCTCTCCACCAACTGCACTGCAAGAAAATCTACAAAACAAAATAGATATTTTTTGTAAACACTTCTGCGTTAAACCCAAACGGAAACTACTTGTCAGAAGTTATGTTTACAGTTATACAAATTTGCCTAACAAAGAAAAATAAATGCTTAACGTTTCGGAAAGTTTATCTCTTTCTGTCGTTGGAAGCAAAAAACACAAAGAAGAAAACTATTTAAAATATATAAATTCAAATATTCGAGAACACTTTAGTATTTTTTTTAAAACAGATACGTCTACAAGAAACCGTTGACTTTCTGTTAAAATGACATTACATCAAGTTAAACTTCAAAATTAACAATTACTACCTGATAACAATTACTTAATAAGGTAAAACCAAAAAGCCCCAAACTTTCTGTATGATTATTTTTAAATTTTACGTATGTTATGTTTATTTATGTTATGTTCTTTAAAATCACAGAAGCGATTGCCATACATTACTAACATCTACAGATGCATGAACAATACATTTATTTTTATTAGATTGTATTAAAAAAGCTTTTTTCTTTTTCTTTTAGAGGCTATCGCTTCTTTCATTATAATTTTGGCGTTATTAAAATTTATTCTATGCCCTGTGTCTAAAGAATGCTGACAAACCTTGGTCTCTTGGTAAAACCTGTCATCATTGACATACATTAAACATGTTGACTTAATAGTTATTAGACTGAAATCATAAATTTGAAATGTTTTTTATGTCAAAAGTTCAACAGAAAGTCTTTTATCAGAAAAATCTGCATATCTTTTTTTTTATCTGCAGTCTTTTAGTAAAAATCGCTACGAGCAACCGTTCTCAAGATATTTAGAATGGAAATAGTCTGAATACATGTCATTATTGACAAATAAACACGTTGAGTAGATAGTTATTTGAGTGAAAAAATAAATTTGAGAAATTTTTATTTTTTGAAATTATTCATAAATTTTCCTGCGAGAAAATGATAATAAAACAGTTCCTGTTGAATTTTTGGCACAAAAATATTTCAATTTTATGATTTCTATCTAATAACTATTTAGCCAACATGTTTAATTTATGTCAATGATGACAGGTATTTTTTGATTCCAAATATCTCGAGAACCATTACTTGTAACGATTTTTACCAAGAGACCTTTTCTACGTAAAAAACTTCGTAAATGTATATTCTTTTACTTAGTAGTTTTATACAGGTACGGACGAAAAGTTATTACTCTTCAAACCAGTTAAAAAAATGTAGGTGGCGCCCCCTAGAAGTGGGAGTAATTGACATCAAAATGAAATTTCTCATGTCAATTTCACGCTTTAAAACACCAAAGGTTCCAACTCCTCAATTGTAAAATGATAATTTCCATAAGAATCGTTCTGCTTCTTTACAAAGGACGTTTGATCATACTGTATTTTATACTTTCAATTTATATACCATGGCATATGATGAATAAAAATGTTATTTTGTTACAGGCAGCGTGGTGACCCCGGGCAGCACCATTACTTCTCCGTGGACGCCGGTCGCAGGCCCGCCAACGGACTCCAATGGCGGGCCCGACAGTAAAAACCTGGACGTGGGGGACATGAGCGACGTAAGTACTTTTATTTTCAAGTAACAGTTATAATATGTACAAGACATATTACTTTAATACCAATAAGTATATGGTATAAACCTATATAAACATATTCTCTGTTTATGATTGATAATCTTAATAAATTGTTCTTTTCTGTCTATTTTAAGTTTGCTTGGTAATACATGTAAGCAGAGGCAAATAAATATATAAACCTACAAATTAGAATTTTTTTAGAATTTAGAATGAGTGGGAGGGGGGTTAATCACTTCGACCTTACAGATCCATTGTGTCCCCCTTTCTTGAATCATAACTCATCATACAGTCCCAGGGCTTTGACAAAAGCCAGTATCTGGGACGGTTTTATAGAGGGTAGTTCTCCATCTCCAATATCAGTCGTACCAAAATTCATGGCACGAATGGTTGTCGTCTCGGCGCACTCAGTGGTGAGGTGTACTGGTGTTTCACCATCTTCCCCACAGAATCAGCATTCGCCGTTTCTTCTTAGTTTCAATCTACTGAGGTGTTCATTGAGGAGACAGTGTCCTGTTAAAAACCCCGTGACAATCCGAAGATTGTTCTTACTCAGACCCAGGAAGATCTGTGATTTTTCTTGATCATAAGCCCTCAGAAACTTCTTCGAGTGTCTTAGACCATTGCAAGATTTCCATTCCAGGTTGCGGATGGAATCTTCCAAGTTCTTGAGTTCCGCCTTGAGTTAGTTACCACTTGGAAAGCAGAACGGTTCTGGTCCAGTTAGTCGAGTGTTCGCTCCTTTCCTAGCTAGATTATTTGCTTTTTTATTGCCTTCTATCCCTTGGTGAGCAGGCACACAGTGTAGGAGGACTTTGTTTTCTTTGCCTAATTTATTCAGCTTCTCTATGCATTCTTTGACCAATTTCGAATTGATTGATACTGAGTTGATCGCCTTTAACGCTGCTTGACTATCAGATAAGATGGCTATTTCTTGTTTCCGATAGTTCCTATCTAAGATAAGTTGTACGCATCTCTCGATAGCGTAGATTTCTGCCTGTAGGATACTAGGGTAGGTGCCCATTGGTTCGGAGTAATTAGCTCTCGGCCCAAACACTCCGATCCCTGTTCCCGTCTCCGATCCCTGTCCAACCTACAAATTGAATGTGACACTCATAAATCCACAAATACTCTTTGCTTATTGAGACTTGATATAACTTGTACATGTAACACATCTTCAATTGCCTGTTGATATCACAACATCTGAGACTGGTCGAAATCTGTGTCGCTTGACTCCTTGACTTGACTCCTCATATTATTCCTTTGGATCTATATATCATTATAGATCTTAATATCATTAAAAGAGTACTCTTAGAGTTCTGGTCTAGTAGGATTTTTTTTCCATTGTTTCATATTAATAAGGCTAACATTTTTCTAAACACCTTTTCTCTGTGCCATATAGTGCCGAAATTAATTAACTATTATGCATTAATGTTTGTTTCAAGGTCTCGTTATTAGAGAGTTTTCTTTAAACGTTACATGGGTTGTTGGGGCAGAGTCTGTCGATGGAGAAATAGACCCTTATTTTCAAAAAGTATTTACTTCTCCATCTTCTTCTATAATAATATAACAATTCCATTGGCAAGGTATACTAAAATCACAGAAACCATGATTTTAGAAACTGTTACTACGAAGAAATCTGCAGAAGATATGTTGAACTATTTTTGGCAGATTTCGCAGCCAAAATATTCTTCCAACTAACCTATTGATAATAATTTTTCCTTAATTATAAGATGAAGCTCACAATATAGTATCTACTTATTGAAACTTGAATCATTAATGTAGATATTCCACATCTTCTGTTACCTGTTGATACTTCTGCACAACTTCTGGGGGTAGTCGAAATTTTTGTTGCTTGATTATTATTGCTCATATTATTCATTATTCCATTGGATCTGTATTACACCACCAGAGATCGAATACAGGTACTATCAGCGTTCTGGTCTAATAGAATTTCTTTCTCCATGGTATCCATGTCACTAAGGTTCTTTGTACCTTTTATTAATCTTCGTTGCAAACGTTTGCCTGAACGCTTTTCCTCTGCACAAAATCTTGCTGAAATGAATGTTGTTAACTATAATCCTTAAATTAATTAGTCAATATGGCAGTTTTTGTTCCAGATTGTTCCAAAACTCCGTATTAAAGACTTTACTTTCAAAGTTAGGTGAACATATACATCTCCATCTACTTCTATCCGTTTATTTTTATTTGACTTCTCGATTAATGAAGTGTACTAATATCACAGCAATCCTGATTTTAAAAACTGCAATTACGAAATGTTGTTTCAAACACTTTCGGCAACTTTTGCAACCAAGATTCCCAACTAAGATTCTTCAGCTAACCTCATAATTTTCTCCTTGGTTATAAGGATTTCATAATATGATTCCCGTATTATGTGACTCAGATAGTCATTCTCTTCTGTATATTCTTCAACAACTTTACTTATTTCTTCATGTCTCTCAGCACTCATTAGAAATTTTGCACCCCTATCTATATCACAACCTAACTCCACAATATTCTTCTCTATTCTTCTATATATCCACGTTTTACATACTTTTATTCCTTTCATACATTCAACAGCATCGAGAATATTTAATATCTTAGCATGTATTTTTATGCTCGGGTCTCAGCTGCAGTCGACGCTCGACGCTATCTGTTAACCCCTAAAGGCAAGAATCAATTTAAGACAAACATATCAATACTCTCCAATTCAAATATAAGATATAAAAAAACAAAATTCAAAAAAATCTTAGTATTCTTGTTAACTAAATTCATATTAATCGACTGAAATAATATTATTCAATCTTTTTTTTAAATATATCAATTCAGTTGTTTCAGATTTATTAAACTGGTTATGTTTTAGTTTTAAATCATATTTAATACATTTGCAGGATGAAAAGGACATGGCTGCGGCCGATGCGGAGGGAGTTTGGAGCCCAGATATCGAACAGAGCTTTCAGGAGGCTCTACTCATGTACCCCCCTTGTGGTCGACGGAAAATTATTTTATCTGACGAAGGAAAAATGTATGGTAAGTGGCAACATTATCAGAGTCAATCATGTATACTAGCTTTATCTAAAAACTGTTTATTTCTATATTTTTTGTTCCTGGCTGCTACTTTTCAAATTAAGACCTTGTATATAATCGCATACAATTTATAAAAGACGTTATTAGTTTGAGATAATAAAGGGAACTAGCAGTGAGAAAAAAAAATAAAACGGAAAGAAGGAAAATATCAAACAATTTAAGAAGCAAAAGGAAATAGAATAAACGCCATTTAAGCGAAATAGTTCGAAATGAACTGGAGCAGAAGAGTGGAAGTGTCCGGTAGTCGCAAATGACAAACCGCCCTCTTGACTGAAAGAACAGGCGGTCTGCGCCAACGTAACAGCAGAAGTAGTTTATATGACGAAGTGCTTTTCCACAAATGTAACTTTTTATGTGGCTAGAGTATAGTATGTTTTTGTAATATATTTGAGAGGGGTGATACATGCGGGGTTTGATCTTATTAGCCTAAAATAGTTATTTTTTATACAAGACGATAAAATGGTATTTTATTGTCGACCGAATGAATTAATTTCGGGAGACGATAATGCAATTTTATCGTCGTGTATAAAACAATATTTTTTTCCATAGCGAGTTACGTTTTAAAAAATATTCAGAAATTATTATTTCAAGGAATTTATTACGAGTAGAAAAAATATTGTGCTGGGTTGGCGTTGGTTTCTGTAATTTGTCAAATAAATAAAGCTGTCTCTTTAGTTGTCAGTTTTGAGTCAATATTTTTTAATCCCCTTTCGTGTCGATTGCTGATTGAATTGGAGCCAGAAATGGCTCAAAACGAAATAAGTAAATTACCAAGACATATTCAGGATAACAGAGACTGAGGCGACAAACGCCATATCCAAACTATATTTTCACGGCAATTAAAAAGAAAAAGATTTTTTTTGAGCGGGACATAGGAAATCCCATGTAAATTTTAATGGGGTCAATTATTGGCTTCCCTAATTATTTGAGAATAATTCTGTTTAGGTTTATTGAAGAGCACTAAAACCCACATTCAAAAGAATAACTTTAGATATTTTTGATTAGCCCGTTTACTAGTTATCGCCGATTTCTTTTTAAATATTTCTCCTTTCTTATGGCCCTGTATTTACTTATGAGCACCAGTCAATGTAAAAGATAACTGTCAAATGAAGTTGTCACTTCAGAAATTTATCTATTTAGTGCTTTATTATTATTATTATTAAAAACTCATACCTACATCGAAAATATTAGCCGTGAATTACACTACCGAAGAAAAAGTATTGATGGTTAAATGGTATTATCAAGGAAATAGTTATCAAAAGGTGTCGGACATGTTTGCTGCTCTGTATCCGAATAGACCGATACCTGGAAAATCTACAATCGCAAGGAATATCCAGAGATTTGAGACCAAAGGTACCCTAATAAATAACTGCAGATGTGAAGCAAGGCAGGAACAAAGAGAAAATGCAAGAAATGATACCGACTTGGAAGTTTTATTGTGCGTGGAAGAGAACGATGGAAAGATCAGCACAAGGAAACTTGAGGATGAAATAGGAATAGATCACACTACAGCGTTTCGAATTTTGAAACGACATAAATACTATTCCTTCAAATATGAAAAGCACCAAGAGCTACGAGATGGGGACGAAATACGGCGGCAGGCATTTTGTTTTGATATGATGAAAAGAGCAAACACGGATGGGGAATTTTTAAAAAACATATGTTTCACTGACGAATGCACGTTTACCTTAAATAATGAACCCAGTGTTCAAAATTATCTATATTGGAACAAAGAAAACCAACACAGGTTTGTCGAAACAAGGACGCAATATCCACAGAAAGTAAATGTTTGGGCAGGGATATTCGGACACAATATTATCCGATCATTATTTCTTACGCGAAATTTAAATGCAGAAGATTATTTGGAACTACTCGAAAATTATATTTTACCTGCTTTACATGATGCCGCTAGGGAAAATCAGGAAGTTTGGTACCAAATGGATGGCTGCCCGGCACATAGTACCCTGGCTGTTCGGGAATATTTACACAATAGTTTTAACGGAAACGTTATTGGCCGAAATCATACAGTAAATTGGCCAGCAAAGTCTCCTGATGATTTCTTTCTCTGGGGCCATTTAAAAAACAGGATATACAAGGATAAAAAATACCCAAATCTAGACGAGTTAAAAAATGCTATTTCTGCCGAATGCAATAGAATTTCAGTTTACCAACTAGCGAATGTAAGAAGAGAATTTTATGATCGCCTGGGTTATTGTCTAGCAGTCGATGGAGGAATATTTGAACGTCTTCTTAAATCCTAAAGTTCTAACGATTTAATGGTACCTAAATTGTTATTGAATATTGTAATAATACTAAAATTAACCTTGTAATTGATTACTTTATTTTACTTTAATTCATATTAATTTGTATTTATAAATACATCTTTAAGATTTCCGATGTAGGCATGAGTTTTCAATAATAATAAAGCACTAAATAGGTAAATTTCTGAAATGGCAACTCCATTTGACAGTTATCTTTTACCTTGACTGGTGCTCATAAGTAAATACAGGGCCATAAGAAAGGAGAAATATTTAAAAAGAAATCGGCGATAACTCGTAAACGAGCTAATCAAAAATATCTAAAGTTATTCTTTTGAATGTGGGTTTTAGTGCTCTTCAATAAACCTAAATAGAATTATTCTCTAAAATAATTATGGAAGCCAATAATTGACCCCATTAAAATTTACATGGGATTTCCTATGTCTCGTCCGACGATGCAACACCCGGTATGGATGAATCGCCATTGGTATTTATCACTGTCTCTATGATTTTGTTTAACAATAGCGAATACGGCAGTAAATGCTTACAAGCATTTCAGCTTTGTAGCCAACTTCGCACCGCTGCCCAATTTCCATTCAGTCCAAATTGAACTAATAAAGCCGAAATTGCTATTATTAAAACCCTTTGGTGCGGACCGTCCGGTCCGCCGCCGCTTTCCCGAGAAATTCGGAGGAGCCGGCGGACAGAGCGTGGACACTTTGCCGGACACACGGTCAATATCGTCACAACCTGCGCCTTGACTGCGAACAATTCCTGTCCCTTTCCTCCTTCCGCAACCCCTTAAACTGCCGCCCCTTCTGCCTATATTCCCTATTATTCTTCAACCTTTTCCCTATACACTCTTCGCTCTGTCCTGTCCCTTCGGGCTGTGTCCGGTGTCCGATCCCACGTCATTTTACATCTGACTTCCGGATTCTTATTTTATTTGAGATTTTTTCAGGGTTATTTGGGGTAATATTGCTGATGTTCGAAGGTACAGTTTATTATTTGGAAGTTTCCGAAATAAGGAGGAGATTGTCAATTTTTAACAAGTATAGGGTGTCCTAAATTCGAGGGTGACCATTTTGGAAACTATAATACCTTACAAATTTATTGTGCGTTCCCCTTTCTTGAGTCATAATAACTCTGATGAGTTATAACTCAAGAACGGTTCATGCAGATTCGACTATATGATATAGTCTGTCCAACGAGAAGATCCTTGACAGTGATAGATGTGTCTGTCATTTTAATTTCAAAGTAGTTTATTTTATTTTACAAAGAATTAAGTTGGTACAACTGGAACGCATAGCAGGAAATATTTAAAATTTGATTGACAAGATGACAAGTGATTACTTCAAAATATTGTGAAAAAAACTGTATAAAACTGAAAAAATGTAATCGAGTTATTTTGTTTAATAAAACCGGTATGTGTTAATACAAAACAAACAAGAACAAGACACTACATACCAAAAAAATATATAAAAGAACTATTTTTTACTTTCAAGCTTTATGAAACTACCCGCATTTATGATTATATTTATCAATATAACTTATGTACAAATACAAATTTGTAATATTCCACAGGAATAAATAAAACAACATAGGTAAATAAAACAAACTATTTTATTAATAATAACACCTACCAAATTTTATACCTTAAAGGTTGATTAATTAACTTTAATCTTAATTTTTTTAAACCAGTACCTTTTGACATTATTTTTCTGCAGTACTAAAATTCATTATTTACCTATCGTGTGATGTCGATATTTTACAGCTACTCCAGTTTTTAGTATGGGTTTAGTTTGATCCTTCTACCATATACGAGATGCACTTATCTACGACGAGATGGTATACAAACTTTAACGATGGGGTGTATAAGACTTTCTGCCTGGGCAGCGAGTATTAACCATAAACTGTGCTCTGGGTCTACAGTTAATTTTCACTCGATTTTTCCTCCACTTGACTTGAAAAGACACAAAACACACGTAATAATACGAATCAAAATGCATCATCTTCCAAAACGCAGGGTATTTAACAAAAGTTGACACAAAATTATAACCTATAATTTGGCAAGACTTTGACAAGCGTCAAAAATGACAAAAATCTAAAGGCGAGTTTATACGCATGGGCGTCCGTTTATCGTTCATCGTTCCGTCAAACCAATAAAATTGAAATACGATCTGTCATTTTTTAAATAAACCAATAAAACTGGCTAAAAACAACAAGACACGACGCATGACGGATTTATATTTAAACCCATCTATAGATAACTTAAAAATGATTAAAAACTTTTTTTAGTAAAATAAATGGATTGGTATGGGACGTCATCTGCTTTTCTTCTGTCATCGTCTGTCGAAATCTTACCTGAGAAAAAAAACAGAGTATACATTTTGGCAAAAACCAGTATCTGAGATGGTTTTACAGAGGTTAGTTCTCTATCTTCGATATTAATCGTACCAAAGTTTATGACACGAATGGTTATCGTGTCGGTGCACTCAGTGGTAAGATGTTCTGGTGTTTCCCACATGTTCTCTATCTTCGATATTAGTCGTACCAAAGTTTATGACACGAATGGTTATCGCGTCGGTGCACTCAGGTAAGGTGTTCTGGTGTTTCCCACAGATTTGGTATGTCAGTATATGACATAAGTTAGGATTGATTGACGTATTCAATTGTTTTTGGTCG